AGACAGAAACATTCAACAACAGAAAACTTTAGGTTATTTTACGATTCAGCCCAGAAACAATGCTCTCTGTAAACCCCTTGACAAGCTCCTAAAGTTTTTAAATTCATTCCTGAAGCACCAAGGAATCTTCTCATTTCATAAATTTATCTGAGCAGAAGCTTTGTCAGGTGAATAATTTGATGCCAACAGCATAGTTCTCAAAATCTTACAATTTATGATATGATTTTGAATCTAACGTTTGGATCCTTGTCTACAAAAATCTTACAATTTGTATAATTCATGCAATTTGAATCAATTCAATTAAGAATTAGTTCTCTACTTTTGGCATTTCTTTTTTTTTCTTTCAATTTTGTCAGGGGAGACTTGTCCTAAAGCCCATACTAGAAAATGATTTATTTGGGTTATTTAAGACCTTATAGAAACCATATTGAGTTTATTTCCCATCACATGTAGGTGAAATAGCCATTATGTGGATTATTTGACTTATCATCTTAGGCTTCTAGTTACCAGGTCAGAGGTTACTCCAAAACCAGAGTCTGAAACTACCTGGAACCATCTGTTTGATGACAGGTTCATCATAATGTCTATGAAGTAATTAAAATATGAAAGGAGAAAACAGTTAAAATACAAAGAAGAGACTTGCTAAGCCTAGACTCGACACCTATAAACAATTGCCCAGTTCCCTACCAATCCCTTAAAAAAAAAAAAACAAAATAAAAAATAATCAGTTCCCTTCCATTATATTAACCTGCTCGGCTGCTCTCCTGGTCAGGACCCGTGCTAGTAAATCCCCACAAAAATGGTTCTGACTTCAGAGTTCAGAATACTCAATCTGATGCAAAAATTCTGCAGACTACAGCATCAGATATTAATGAACTCAGAGAGGCCCGAAAATATGAATGTTATATATTAAATGCCCCTCCACAATTATATAGATTGAAATTGATTCAGCAGGCATAAACATAATGTCAGAAACCTCCAATTCTTTTGTAAAGCTCAGTTTCAGCCCCCGCGCTTTTCAAGATAGGATGTTGTTTCTAGGCCACTCCCTCGAGTTATTGGAAATTGAAATTGCTCAAAAAAAATATCGGAAATTGAGATATCAGAGAAGTGCAACCTATGAAGATAAACTGAAATGCAATCAGTGCATGTCGTCCTATCAAGATTCGAAATCATGTAACTTCACGAAATATGTAGCCTAAGAAACCATGCCTACAGTAAATGAACAAAGTGGTGGAATTGGGGAATAAAATTCGAACTCAAACCTGTTCGACTACATTAAGCATGGTAAGCTTATCGAAAGCGAGAACGAGAGCATAAGCGCCGGCAGTAACGAGCATGGTGGCACCGGCGTCCTGCAAAAGTGCGCCATGGTCGACATGGAAATGGAACAGCGCGCGCGGGGCCCTGAAAAACGAGGATGAGGAGGCGGTGAGGTCTGTAGCCCAACAACCACCTCGCTTCACACGAAGAAAAGCAGGCTCAAGTACTGGAATCCCGGCGCGCCGCCGAAGGGCAACGGCGGAGAGCCTAGACCGGTGGTGGTGGTGGTGATGAAATGAAGCCCTCGAGTGAAAACATGCAGACGATCCAACTCCAAGTCCGATGCTCATGATTTTCTCAGCCCTTTCTTTCTTGTCGTTGCTTCCTTTTGTGTACTGTATTCCTTCTCTTCTGCGTCTGTGACTACTGACTGACTCATAGAGATAGATGAGAAGAGATCGGCTTCAGTGAGTGCAAAAGCCGTTCGAACAGAATTTACAGCCTTACATTGGGAATATCTCTCTACTTTATATGCTTTATTTCATAGGAGATATTCCAATGCCACGCTAACCTATAAAGCTATTCGAACGGACCTTGCAGCGCTGTACTTTTTACACCTCTAATAATAAGCCAAGGGGAAGCGGCCCTAGTGGGCTAAATTTAATTTACGACGTGGGCTTTACTATGGGCCATACCAAATGTTCAAAGCTAGATATAGAGGGAACTAGGAATCTAAGCCCGGAGCAAGCTGGACTGGCTCTCTGTCCAGCTTTGATCCTTGTGTTCTGTTCTGTTCCAATCCCCAAAATCCACCGTGTGTGTGGGGTTGACAGTAAAGCAACGGGCCGACAAGACTACAACTATAAAAGAGAGATGTTTGTTTGTTTGGTTGTTTGTATAACATTGATTAGCGGGTTCGCCCTACAAACAGATGAAGGTGGGTCCCACAATATCTGTACAGTGAGGACTCCTTAGCGCCACTCATGTGAGCATCCCCATCTCACTCACACGACATAGCTTGATCCCACAAGGCCACAAATCACTCCAACAAATAGCAGCTAAATCTAGGAAAGATTATCATTATAAAAAAAGAAAGAGAAGAATCCACATAAAAAAAGAAAAAGAAAAACTTCTCTCGCTGCTGAATCTACAACTTGGTTAGCTGAATTCACATCTGCGCCTCATAACATATCTCAACCGTTTATTTGGAATATTTTCCACTGATAATTTTGGGAGATGTTCTCAATGCATGCTGAGATGTGCATGTGAGGCATTTGTGGGGCGCCTCCAATGAGGCATAGATGTGATCTCTGGTTAGAGATTGGATGATTCCTATAATTTAAAGCCATCTAATGGGCTTCAGGCTTCCCAAGTGTTGGGTTTTAATTCCAAATAGGGTTTGATTGATCAATTACATGAAAAACACACATGTCTTGAAAAATAAATTTTTCTTACAAAAAATCAGTTTTTAACTTGTCCCACATTGGAAAATTCAAGACCTGTTTTGAGATTTTTAAATAATAGCTTACTTACACTCCTTAGAAATAAAGAGAAGAGTATGAAGGCTTGCTATCGCAAAACGTGTGCACGTGCGTGTGTGCAGTGCAATGAGGCGCACTTTGCTCGCACTTGATCATTGATGTTTCAACTACAACGATTCGATCGGGTGTGATTAAGAGGCATTATTCAAAGTTAACAGTAATTAACTATTAAGTACATTTTAACAGTCACAATTTCAATGAGTCTTTTTTTGAACCAACACTTTCCTCTGCTCCATAACTCTTCTTAGATTATTTAAGGAGCATGAATCAAGCATTTTACACACAATTTTGAAAATCACTTTGTCTCTCTTAGTCCGGTCTGCTATTGTCTCACAAAAGATTTCTTCGGAGACTCTTCAACTTTGCTAGTGGCAAATTCTCATCCAAGGCTTTGTTGTATCCTGGAAATGGATTTGTCTGTAACCCAACAGCAAACTCAGTGGAATTGAGTGGGGGCAAATAACGTTTTAAAGACAGTATCTTTAGACACGCCTCAGAACTTCTCCTCTAAATTTTAATAACCCCAATTCACAACACTAAGCTGACCATACTTCCACCAAATTGATGGAAGTATTACCAATGAAATACGCTTTGAACTCCACTACTTTCCCATATATGTCTCTACTAAGGCGCTTTTCAATTCTCTCTAACTGGATCAAGCAGGGATTTTCCTTCCATGAACCCATGAGGAGGCAAGGATACAAATCAAATTGTCAATCTAAGCCAGAAGTTAGATAAGTGATCCACTAGATTGACAATATATTCATCCCAAAATCATTAGGCTCAATTTGGGAAGAGCAAACCTACAAGTATTTAGAGAATAAATTCAAGGTTTTACATCTATATGTACTCTTTCCAAAGTGATCCTACAAAGTTCAAAATATCACCCATGGTGTAAATGAATAATTTTTTTTTTTTTGCTTAAAAAATCTAAAGAAAAAAGTGAAAGTAGCATAAATTTGAAAGGATATAATGGTACAATGGTTATAAACGGAATAAAATACTTTCATATTTGAATTAACATCACTCTTTAACAAATGTATGTTTGTTAGGGATGTTCATAAAATTTTATAAATTGACCAAATCGGACTAACTCAACCCAAGATGATCAATTTTAGAAAGTAATCGGTTAGTTTTAGTAATAAATACTAAAAGCTAGCAACTTAGTTCGGTTGTGGATTATACACATATAAACCAAATCCAAATAAACTCATTCAAAATATATACATTAGTGGAAATGTGGGATGTGTGGTAATTTGGATACTACTACATCCCAAAAAACCTCAACTTTTCCTATGATTTTAATGTCATTATTTCACCATGTCAAGCCTGTCGGTCACTACCCAAACCACCCAATTCATTGCTTCCCATTCCTCTCACCTAACCTCTAACCAGTGGCGGAGCTAAGAATTTTCTTTTGCGGGGCCAAATTAAAGTGTTAAACAATTAAATCAGTAGGGAGCAGACTTTGAAGGAAAATGGCCTGAGAATGAGAAGGTTTGGGTCTATTATAATTTTTTTAAAGAAAAATAAATAAATGTTTTAATTTTGAGAGTTTGAGGAGTATTAAAGAGTAATCCTTTACATTTTAGTAATGTTTTGGAATGCCAAAAACCTACTTTATTAGGTTTGGATCCAACCTCCGCTTAGTAACTCCATATAAGTAATGTTTTTATAAAAGGTCTGGGGGAAGAAGGACCGANCCCCCAAGATACTTGGCTCCCTCCCCCCTACCTCTAACTCTGTAACATCTTTGTCCTCGCCCACTAAAATCCAAAACCTAAAAAGTACCAAAAGGCAAAAGCTATCCTAAAAAATTAAAAAATAGTTCATAAAGAACTAACAAAAAATTTAAAAAATTAAAAAAATTAAAAAAAAACATGATAGATCAACCCTTTAAAGTCTAATCAAATGAGACAAAGTATTTTGCTTTTCTATTATTAAAATTTGAAAAAGCGATCGATTGTCCCTCTAAAATTTCAATCTATCAATAGTTTTCTATTATACATTTGAAAGTGGGACCCATATTATTGATGTTGTATCAATTAATTTATTTGAACATTTAAAATATTTTAATTAAAGTAGCTAGTCTTTGATTCAATTACCCAATTAAACTAATCAAAGATTAAAAGAAATTTTTAAATAGTTAATTTTTATTGAATAAAAAACTAACAATTCCATATGGTTTTTTCAACTTAATGAGATGTCCATATAGTGACTCTCTCTTCATG